TGGCTTGGCGACTTCATCGGCCAGTTCTCTCAGGACTCTGGGATGCATCTCATCAGGTCCCATGGACTTGTGTGCATTCAGGTTCCTCAGGTGGTCACAAACCTGGTCTTCTCCTACAGCAGGAGGGGTTTTGCCCTCCCGGTGCCCCTCATGCCATCCATCGACTCGGGAGGGGCACAAACCAAACTTCAGCAAAATCTACTATCAGAAGTGAATCCTGGAGGTATAACTTGGGTTGAAATAGTCTAAAATAATTTTTATGGATCTCTACACCTATGAGAACTTTAAGTAATTGCAAGAAAGAACCAGTGATCATCTAGTAATTTCTACGGTCACCCGAGGTTTGCAATGAAATAAGTCTGAAAGCCACCATCAAATATATTTTAAAAGGAAGATAGGCTTTCAAAAATGAAGCATGAACTTAGTGCTGGCTCTGCACAGAGTGTCCTAAGAATGCAGATGTACCTGGACATGCTGCCAGGAAAGGAGGTTTTGTGAGGACCTGCCACAAAATAATAGTATATTGATCAGGTGAGAAGATAAACAGGTGCAAAGGATGAGGAGGATGGCAGGTCCTTATTTCAGTTGCTGGGCTAAAGATTTGGATCCAGTCAGTTTTCTGGGCTTGGGACAGGCCACCACGGATTTATCTTCATGGCAAGCTTGGATGTGTCCCAAGACATCTCTGGGAGTGCCTCGGGTCTGTCCCTAGGGAGCAAAGTCATCCAGGTGATGCAGAGGAGATGTGTCCCTGTGTTCTTGCATGGGAGCTGTCATTCGCAGGTCTCTGGTGGTGTCAGACCATCTCCCCCTGGGCTGAAGAGCTGATTCCAGGGGCTGCAGCAGGAACCAGCCCCTCTTCTGCTTTTAGTAGCAGCTTCAGCACACAGGAATACAAAAGTAAACGCCCAGCCTCTCCCTCGTGCTTCCTGGGACTTGCCGAGACCCGCTTCTAAGGGAAGGTGGTAGCAGCTGGGGATGTGAATTATTGCTGGCATCTGCCTCATCGGGTGCACAGCTCCCAGGGAGTGCATGGATGCCTCTCTCCTGCAGGATAATCCATGTTGAGGGGAGGTATAATGAGCGGTGATGGAGCTTCAGATTTCACAAGGCCCCAGAAAATCCAGCAGAGAGAAAGCTGTTGGTTGAAAACCATGCCCTGCTAGTCCTGCTACTCACTTGAAATGGGGGTCAGCCTGTGTGGGGCTTGCCTGATTTTTACAGACAGTTCAATTGATGAGGATGCGGTTTGGGCCAACACAAAACTCTTATGTGTTTGGGCTGCATTTGGTTGAATAAGGGAAGTGTGTTATCCATCCAGAGCATTGACATGATTCATTCTGACACTTCTGAAGTGGAATATGTTCCTTTTCTCAGTCTAAGGTCACATAGAGGTGGCATTGATTGCAGCACCAGAATGGAAGTGTGAGTTCCTGTGCTGGACTGCACTCCTTGTGCAATTACTCTGAAGTCTCTGCCTTTCTAGTCCAGTTTTAACAGGATGACTCTGTCTTGGGGGTTCCTATAGCGCGGGGAGTCAGGCCCTCCTCCAGGAGGAGGGAGGTGATGGTTTAAATCCATGCAGTGAAGTAGGAGACTAGATCTCCCATATTTCAGGAGACCATGCAAGCCACAGAGCTGCTGGATGAAAGGGTGAGTGTTGCTGCTTCTGCTCTGTGTCACATTGAACTCCTTTTGAGACTTCTGCCTTTTTCTGTCTAAAATTCCTGAAAATACAATTAATTTCCCTTTTTGCCAGTAACGTAAAACCAAGGTACTTGGTTTTTCATTATCTGTACAGG